AGGAGAAATGTGTTTGATGTGCTGTTTAAATAAACCTGCCACTACCTGACAGTAGTTTGCAAACATTTTTGAAAACTGGGTGGATGCTTTTTTCAAGTGACAAAGGCCCTCAGTGGGAAACAGTAAAAGGAGCTACTGCTTGAATGGACCTCCCTGTTGACACCCAGGCATCTCTGTAGAACCCCGGGCTCCTTTTCAAAATGCTTTGTGGAAAAGGGACTCCTAGGTATGAAGGTATCTTTTTCTCTGCAATAGAAACTCTCAAACTTTTCTGAGAAAGAATCACCTGCTGCTTCTGTTTAAAATGCAGATTATTAGGACTTGGCCTGGAGACTCCCATCTGGGAAGTCATGAGTGGGGCCTAGGAATCTGTATTATAACAAACACCCAGATGAGTCAGTGGGTGGATGATTACTTGAGAAACACTACTCTAAAAACATCCTGAGGGTCCCTCCAGTGGCTTTGCCTAACTCCCAGCAGATCCCAGTTTATTTAGGTACTTAGTTTACAAGCTTCACATACTATATAAGAGCTTCTGCTTGCTAAGGGAAGAAGTATCTTCCCTACCTCTTTCATCATCTCCCGACTTAATTCTCTTCTCCTATTCTTAGAGCGCCCTAGATGCCGCAGGGTTCTCAACCCCTATGCTGGGTCTGCTCCATCTGAACTGCTTTGGTTCCCTAACCTCCCGTTCTCTCGTGTGTTTCCAACAACCTCTTCCTTCCTCTAGCCTTTCGAAGTTTTGTTTGCTAGCTTCGTTCTTTATTTATAATGAAGCAGATCTCATTAGCCCTTTCCTTCCCCAACAAACAAATCCCCAAATAGACTTTTAACAATGGATCGAAACCAACTGGATGGCACTTAACAACAACAATAAATAAACAAATATGGAGTCATGGTGTGGTGCTGTAGGATAAGCACTGTACTGCTAACTGAAAGGTCAGTGGTTCAAACCCACCAGATAATCCTCAGAAATCCTATACAAGGTCACTATGAGTCAGAACCAACTCAACAGCCATCAATAGCAGCAACATTAAACAAATATGAGGGAATATAAAACATCTTGTGGGAAAATCCCACTAACTTTTCATTCCATTTTTCCACAAACTTTTGAAGCCCCCTTGGATACAACTGATTAATTAATGCAAATGCACCCAGCCATTAAGTATATAAATGCTTCCATATTACAAGGTGCTAGGTATCGTGTGGATACAAAAAAATATAAAAACAAATCTAAACAAGCCATGCATTTAAAATAAAGTCCACAATGAGGTATCACTACACACCCACTAAAGTGGTGATTATCATAAAGACAATGCCAGGTGTTAGTTAGCAGGATAGGGAAACTGAAACTATCATACATTTCTGGTGGGAATGTTTTCTACTCTGAATGCAGTTTGGCAATACCTTAAATAGTTAAATATAGATTTACCATATAACTCAGCAATTCCATTCCTAGGAATATAACCCAAGAGATATTAAAACACGTGCACACAAAGACATGCTTGTTAATGTTCATAGAAGCATTAATCATTGTTGTTGTTGTTAAGTGCCGTAGAGTAAGTTCCAACTCGCAGTGACCCTGTATAGGGTTTCTGAGGAGCAGCTGATGAACTTGAACCACCGACCTCATGATTCAAATCAACCTTGCATTCTAGTGCATTAACCCACAGCACCACACCAGGAAATTGAAAGCAATCCAAATGTCCATCAATTGATGAATGGATAAATAAAATGTGGCACACCCATACAATGAAATAACACTCAGCAATGAAAAAAAGGAAATATTGATACAAGCTGGTACAACATGAATGAACTTCAAAAATCATTATGCTAAGCAAAAAATGCTAGACACAAAAGTATGCATATTGTTTGATTCCATCTCTATGAAATGTTTAGGAAAGGGTAAGTTGTAGACAGAAAGTTGATCAGTGTTGCAGGGCCTAACTGTATATGGGTATAAGGAAATTCTCTGGAGTGATGATACTGTTCTAAAACTGTTTTGTAATGATGGGAACTAAACAACTCTATAAATTTATTCAAATCATTATAGATTTTATAATGGAATTATATGAAATGCAATTGTACTTTAGTAAAGTTCATTTAAAACAAGAAGCCATATACCATAATGAAATAATTCATAGTTCTTTTCTATGATCAAGGAATCAACATTATGTTCAAAGTGTGGTCTGTTGATCCCTCAGGGTGGGATGCAGGGGTATCTCTGGGACTTTCTTAGTAGTCTCTGAGGTCAGGTCCATATGCACACTAATTCTAAGATGTCTTTGTGTGGACATTTGCAGAGTAACCACAGGTAAAACATGTGGTCCCTTAGCCTACAAGGCAGTGGCACCAAATCTTATTGGTAGTCATTATACTCTTCACTGGTATGGTGCTGTAGGGTAAGCACAGGACTTCTAACTACAAGGTAGGCAGTTCAAACCCACCAGCCGCTCTCAGAAACACTGTACCAACTCAACGGCACACAACTCTATTCTTTACCACCATGCATGGGGTCGCATGAGTCGGTTCCAACTCGATGGCACCTGACAACAACTCATAATAGAGAAATTAATTTCCAGTGTTACTTAGAATTTCCTTGAGGGAGCAGTAAAAAGTCTTCCATTTTAGGCCTTGGCTGCATATATTTTAATATTATCTATGATGAAATAGGAAGTACACAAAAAGCATTTTTCTGCATACCAAAGTAAGATGGCTGTGTCAAGGAAAAGTACTTCTGCAGTTTTTAGAATTGCAAGTTCAACTTGTTGTTGTTAAGTGCCATCGAGTCGGTTCCGACCCAT